CAAATAAATCATTCTTTGATTTGAATTTGATCAAATCAAATCAAATATAAATTTGAATTTGTATTTGATTTGAATTTGATCAAATCAAATATTCAAATGTCAAATCGAATTGCGGAACCCTAAGTAAAACAATTAGTTATAGGAGCAAAGAAATAATATGACGCAGGGACTCGCATTATCCGCGTACTCCCTCCCTTGAAAGCATGTCATATGTCTCATTCTAGATTTAAAGAACTGCCAACTAAAATATATTATCACTTAACTGGCCTGTTTTTTCTTGATAATAATAAAGTTCCGAGCTTTTACATTTTAAATCACTTGCGATATTCATAAAATATAATTTTTTCTTAATAAAAAATATTTAACTGATTGAGGCTGATGACTATCAAGAAATAGCTTGAATATCTACTGACTCATAACTTCACCGCCAATGCTTGGAACAGACATAAAGTATGGCATCTCCAAGGTAAGTATACCAAAAGAAGTTCTCGCCGCCAAAGCTTGGAACAGACGTGAGGGGCTTCAGAAAAGTCAGCGAATCAACTGCCGCCACCAATGCTTGGAACAGACACGAACAGTTGCTAGCCATCAAGAAACTCATAACTTCACCGCCAATGCTTGGAACAGACATGAAGTATTGCATCTCCAAGGTAAGTATATCAAGGGAAGTTCTCGCCGTCAAAGCTTAGAACAGACGCAAGGGACTTCAGCATAGTTTCACCCTCGTCGTTTTTGTTGATCGAAAGTCATTGTTTTTAAAGCACAAGTGTGTAACCAGTATATATAGTCCTTCGGTTGGTGATCAGCGAATACTAGGGATGTTAACGGTTCGATCAGTTCAGTTTCAGTTCGATTTTCAGCGGTCTGAGAGTAAAATCGAACCGTAGACTGATTTATAGACCGGTTTGAATTGTAGTCTAGACCGAAGTGTAAATCACTTGATATTAACAACGCAATTATTTTATTTAACAAAAAAAAAAAAAAAAAAAACAAAATTACAAGATTTTATCATCAAAAATTGATAAAAAAAAAATTAAATCTAAATCTATTTAAAATCTATAACAAAAAAAATATATATTTCGTTGCTATAAATTTTTTAATTCCCTTTTTTTTCTGAAATCCAATTTTTCATACAAATAATTGCCCTTG